TTTGTGATTTTCACAAAATTGATAACTAATTTCTATTTAATCCACTCTATCTGTCTATCAAAGATGTTACGTCTATTATCATTTAAGATATACGTTCATTGCAATAATACACACAAAGTTACATTAGTATTCACATTCTTACAATGTATTTAATATTTTATTAATTAAATTCATAATATGATTAATATTTTTTATTAATACACATTTTATGCGGGTTGGTGGCTCGCGCGTTGTAATTAAGTTATACTTGAACTTTGTCACGGCACGGAATGTGTCTAACATAATTATTGATATAAAGTAAAAATTAATTTATTACTAAATAATTCTATGGATTTTTACAGGAGTCAAAATTATGAAACCCGACAGAAGTATGAGAATCAACTATGTCAACTACAAAATAAAAATCTTGAATTACAGGAAATAACACACTTTATTGAAAGACTGAACATACTCGATACATTAATGCAGGATATTGATAAAAAGTTTGTTCCTAATGACTAATTATTCTTTTTTTTTAATATTAGATAACATAATTGAATCTGAAGATCAAATATAAACTTCCCTATAGAAATATAATTTTTATTTTATTATATTACAAAGATATATATAATTATTTGAATAATTATATTATTTACAAAATAACCAATCAATATTTAAGTTTTTATAGTTCTATATTTCTTACAAATTTCTCACGTAAGTTAAGGATAGTAAATTACAAATGGAAGTAATTATATAATATTTATTAAAGAGTGTCAAGCATATTCATTAATATAACACAGATATTAATTACTCTGTTAAACTCTTCTGAATCTTTACAGTCTAGAAATCGAGGAGCAACAAATGAGCGATGAAAAAAGAAAAGAACTGCAAAGCCAAGCACTGAAATTACAAAAAATTGGTGAAGATTATTTAAAAGAGCTATCGAAACTGCGAAGAATGGCAATATTTTTTATCGAAATAAACTCAAAAATACTACAGATGTCTAAAGTGTACATTCGGAATACACAAAATTCTACTAAGTAATTATTCACATTTTTTATATTATTGATAGATGACATAAACAAATCTAATAATTTAAATATTAACTTTCTTATACAATTGCTTTTTATGGGACAATAACAAGAATATTACTAGATACAACTTACAATTAATATATTTAGTATGAAAGTACAGAGAGTCTTTTTCGCTCGATTTTTGCAACTGTCTCTAACCGTCTACATCGCACGCTCGCCTGCGCCATCGGGAGTCATCTTTCTCATAACTAATCCTAACTTCTACAAGAATATTTTATATTATGTTACAAATCACATAATTA